AAATAAGTTGGTTTTGTTTTGAAAAACAATACATATTTTTGAAACTAAGAAAATATTAGTTTTTAAAACGAAAACATATCTTTTAGTATAAAAATTATATGATTTATAGAACATGATGTTGAATAATCAGATGAAAACATGTTTTTGAAACCAAATTCAAGAATATGTTTTTGTTTTAGTTTTGTAAATAAAAAACATGTACACAACCAAGAACATATTTCTTATGTTTTTGTTTTAAGAAACAATATATTTTCAAACAAGATTGTTTTGATTTCTTTTTAGAACCGGCAACAAGAAAAGCAACTCACGTTGTAGAACGCCCGTAATCAAGAATGTCACACCGCCGGTTGTGCTAATTTTTTAAGAGCCCATTTGGTACGATTCCCGTGTTGGACGCAAGTTGTGTTGATTGAATCGTGATGGTGAGNCCCCCCCCATATTTAGGGCAAATTACCTGAAGTAGCTTCATATTACAGTTGTGTTCCTTGTAATCAGAACACCAATATTGACTTTCCAGAATTTTACTAAAAATAGTTTCCGCGGTTTCTGTGTTGGCCCAATTTGGAATGTTAGAAGTCATGTCCCAAAAACCCTTCCAAATGTATACTAATAATTTGTTTGGTGCGACTGATAAGAGAAAATAGGAATATTCTCTTTAGATTCCCATTTTCATTCGTTTGTTTTGTGAGATGGACCAAGAAACAGTAAGACATGGTTTCCCAAAACTTGGAATACGGCATCACACTAAAACGGTGTGACCCCGTGAGAAAGGAAACCATAGGCGAAATTTGTCAGTTCGTCGTAAATGAACTGAAATAGTAGAGGTGTTTGTCAGTTCATCTTCAGCACTATTTCTCACTGTTCCTTCCCTAACTTAGAATGCATTGTCAGATCGTTGTCAGTTTGTCGTCAGCACTGAAATAGTAGCAGTGTCATCAGATCGCCGTCGACTTCAGAGGTCCGGTGGAGGCGCACTGAAATGATCGAACTGAAATAGTAGTGGCGGCATCAGCTCGTCAACGATGTCAGAGGTCCGGTGGAGGTGCACTCAAAATGGTCGCTTGCCTCTGGTTCAAGTAGCATACCAAAGGCAAGCGAAGAAAAAGATGAAGAAGAAGAAGAGGAAAAAAAGAAAGAGGGAGAGGAGGAAATAGAGGAGAGATATCTTGATTGATTGAAAAACCTCCTTGAGAAATCGACTTCTTTCATGACCTTTACTGTTATTCTTGCTGAAGAAACCACCACTGCTGGTTTGGAACCGAGTTGCAGAGATATAAGCGGATCATATCTCAAAAAGTTGGTGCAGTCTAGGATGAAGAGATGAAATAATTGTAAATTTCCCTTCTCATCAATCAAACACTGGAATGCCAAAATGAGAAAATAAATTTTCCCTTCTCATCCCATCCCTTTTCATTCCATAGCTTCTCAGCAACCAAACGGACTGTAAGTCTATTTGGGGGAGATACATGATGGTTGTCCATCTAAATTGCTTTGGCTTTATTATTAAAAAATTTCATTCTAAAAATGGTATATTGGTATAACATCGAAGAAAAGTTGCCTGTTTTCGAATTTCAATGTACCAAGTCACAAACTCCATGGTGATTTAAAAGAACCATACATGATAGCGGAAAGATTTTTTACAACATTTGGTGAATTTAGGTGAAAACTCACTTGATTGATTCGTACTTTTATGATATCAATTGATTGGTTATAAGTTTTTCCAATATCATGTCTTTCTAGTATCATAATCACTTAACGACAATATTTTTTTTTTCCAGAAAGCAGTCTGTCCAATATAAACTGGTGGATTTTTCCTGTTTTCTCTAATGTGTCAAATTAGTTAAAAATGAAACGCTCATGAAATACATTAATAACGAACACCCTCATAGAGTACATTGATACCAAACACCCTCTTATCTGAGCTAGAATAATTACATTCTTCCTCCAACGTAAATTTGAGGATATGTCCTCCATACATTATTTCAGAGGAGATAGGACAAAGTGTGCTAATCAATGAGTTACACATTGTAGGGAAATAGTTAATGATAATTGATTAGAATTCTCGTAAAGGCTCCAAAAGTAAAATATTGGGCCTGTTTGATTCACAGTAACAAGGGTCTGGAATCGGAGTTGGAATGGCTCATTTCAATTGTAACTGTTTGGTTGGACAGAATCAGCATGCCATTCTCATTCCTCTATTTGATAGAATGGTCATTTTTTCTTCCTTTTTTGCAAATGAAATCCCATTTCAATTTATTGCAATTTTGATTCTGATTATGTGGACCAAATAGATTATAAGAATAGATTATTCCGATTCTGATTTCAATTTTAAATGATTTTGATTCTAATTCTGACTGCAAACCAAACAGACCCATTGTTCTTTTGCAGGAAAATTCCCATTTCAATTGATTACAATTTTCATTCTGATTCCTGTGAACCAAATAGATTATAAGAATAGATTATTCCGATTCTGATTCCAATTTAAAATGATTTTGATTCTAATTCTGACTGCAAACCAAACAGACCCATTGTTCTTTTGCAGGGAAATTGTTTATATTTATCCTGGGAACTGTTATTTGGATAAATAAATTGACCATAAATATTAGCTGAATAAATGAGACAACTTTCCAACAAAACTCCTGACTTTTATGTGCTGGTAGAGACATTTTAGCCAACCGAAAAGTAAATCAGGCTGTGGATTGACTGGCTCACCATGCTCATGAAGCCCAGTTGCCGGGTGATAGCTGCATATCTCTGAATCTTTGTAAGTTGCCTTTACCGTTTGCGTTTATTTATTATAGTGATTTGTGGGGACGTGCTACCCCTGTTTTGTGTAGCCCTTACTTTTATTATTAAAAAGAGAGAGAGAGAGAGAGACATTTTTAGCTCCATGTAATTTAATTTGGCCAATTTATAAGTAATTTGTACACCTGAGAAAAAATCACTTTTTTGTGAACCCTACACTTATCCGTAAACAAACGAGCCCTAAGAGGTAATATAATTACTAGCGAGTAAAAGAGGAAAAAAATGGTGGAGAATTATTGCAATTCTCAACTCATACCGTTCAGTATTGATTAATGTCACGGATCCGTATCAGTCAATACGAAGAAAAAATTAAGGGATTAGATGGGTTAATTCAGTGTGCCATTGACTGATGAATTTATTGGCTTCCGACAGCTATAAATTTGGACCCAAATTGTTGATCGGACATACAAATGCTTTAGAATTTTAGGTCCGGTCGTACAAAAATGTACCGGAATTTGGTTCACGGTGTTTGACTCCCATTCTCTTCACTTCATTAATTCACATTCAATCGCCATTAGCCCTTACCTGTTCTTGTCGCCAAAACTCTAGTCCAAGTCGGTCTCATCAATTCAATTGAATTAATCCTACAAATGTTTCGCAATATCAAAGTCTACCTACATTCCTCCATGAATCTCTCTTCAACAGCTCCTATTTTTTCTTTTAAATTGGCCCAAAACCAGAACTTGAAGATGCTGTCGTTGGATTCAGATTGGCGCCAATCAATACAAAACAATCCAATGGAGTTGACAACGCCGTTTGATAGTTTATCTCTTTCTCAATATCTGACTTCTAATTAAAAATAATAATAAAATCGGAAACTGATAAAATCATAGAAGATTATCAACTCTACAGAGTTGAATTACTATTACGACTTTGAATTTTAATACTTGATTTTCCTCAACTTGTTTCAAATTTGATAATAACCCACTTTCATCTCAATATCTGACTATTTACAATCAATTTATTTAGTCAACCTTTTGGATGAAAGTGGAAAATAATAACTTTGACCGCAATGATTTTTTGAACAAATTTAATCAAAAGAAATTTGAAATTTTCATTTTTTCCCCTAATAACACATGAGCAACCATTATTTGACTCTATTTGATCAATTTTATTTTCTATTGGAGTATTTTTAAAATAAACAACAATGGGCTCATGCCCTTGAACATTTTCCACTAAACTGAGATGATCAGGTTACTCTTTTTAGATAGCAAAACAAATAATTCTTAACCACAGGTCAATTAAATAAATAGACTACAAACTATAAATGAAAATTATAAGGAGTGTTCTAATAAATGACCCTCAATTTTACTTTGACATTCATAAATAGCAGCGTGGAACTTGGGTTGGGCCAATATATACCCTAACCCAACCATCTTTACTCAGGCTGGGCTTTTTATGACTTGGATTGGAATCAGGCCTTTGAACTCATCCCAAACTAAGATCAGGTAGGTGTTTGGCATAGGTGCTGGGAATATCACACTGTTCTCATAAAAACAGTGCTGAGATGTGGAATTGTAAGCACCATATCAGTCATTTTTTGTTTGAAACCGATACTATCACATAAGTACTTTCTGAAAAAACAGCACTGGTTATGTTTGGTATCAATGCTGGCAGTAATGTTTTCAACATTGACCTATATTATCCAACGTCTAGGATGATGCCACATTGATGTATTTTTGCATCAACACACCATTTTTTCAAAAAAACATTGAATTTGGCATTACTCTATAACACACTTTTCCAATTTCCTTCGCATTGTTTGAACTTTGAATCACCACTTTCTATGATATGGCACATACATGATGCCATTTATCCAGAGATACAAGCTGTGCATTGGGAATACCAAATACGTCGCTTGTCAATCATAGGGAGATGTTGCCAATTGAGATGTGGGTAGCAGATCGGAGTCTTGGAGACTATCTCAGGCTCAAGTTGAACTGTATCAAATTTAGAATTGGGCCAGAGCACTAGATCCAATACCTAGTTTTAAGCCTCATTGTACGCTTGGAGATCATCCCATACAAGAGAAAGTAACCGAATGAAGAATATATGTATCCCACTCAATCTATCTAGCATTACAAACCAAGAGCAGAAGGGATCCATGCTTAGGCACATCATTCACATACAGAGCATGAACAGAATCACTAAAGTAAGCTCAGGCAACTCGGTCCATGTAATGACCAATAAAGAAGATACTAGCAAATGCACCACTTTCATTAATATTGCTCATGTAGACATTATGGGTCCAGTAAAAGCAAACACAAATACACAACGGGTACATATCACCATCACCCCAGTTCAAGGGATTCAGACTATACAAAGAAAGTTTAACTATAGTATTTGATAAGATGGGCCTTGGATCTCATCTCCCAACCTTTTCGCAAACACTTCCCAGTGTTCCCACTGTCCTGTAAACTGTAAAGAGAGCTGAGCCAAATCTCCTTGGGCCTTGGCCTATGTTTTGCATTCTCACTCATACTATGTACAAAATTAAGCTTAACTTCCACAAGACATACAAGCATCTCTGTTTTCCAGAGAACAGACCATTTGTGCCATGCCAGCATTATCATCATGCTCTGGCTTGCCCTTTTCCTGTAGTGCACAGAAATAGATTTGGTTTGATAAATACATGATAAATAAATAAATTAACTGTGTAGTAGTAAAAGTTGAATACAAGTAAAAAGGACTGATTGTCACCTTGAGAAGGGAGGTATCAACAGTGAACTTGATGGCATCTGCTGCAGCACGTGATCGCAGGTAATACATTCCAGTTTTTAAACCCTTGGATGTTCATAGGGGAGGAGCATTCATTAAATATGTTAGAAAAAGTGAAGTGAAACAAAAGGGATAACCACAACATGTGACATGTCATGTGCACAACAGAATGCATTTGAAATGTATCTTTTATGGACCATTGACATTGAAGGGTCCAATTGAAAGCCAACACCAATCCAAAAACATAGCAACCATTTTGATGGACAACCATGTTTTAAAATAGCATAACAATCAAGTAAAGAATTAGAAAATGAGATATGGGGTGGAATCCATGATTTTGCCCCCACCATAACCTCTGAAGTCTGAACCTCCCCAAATATACACATGTAAGAGAGAAGCATTAGGTAATGTTTATAGTCCACCAGAAAGATGGGCAATGACCCAGCAGTTCAGTTCGTCACTCATGCATCTCTCCAATTGAGGTGCAGGCTCTCCACATAGTAAATACCAACGAGTGCAGAACTGCACACATGCGTCCCTGCTCCCACTAACCAGGTCTAGAGCATATAGAACCCCATCCCTAGGTTCAAGAGCACAATTCCTGCAACAGTGGTCACAGAACAATCCAGAGACCCCTAAAAAAAATTGTGAGCACACCAGCATTTGAAATTAAAGGCATCACGTCAACTGATTTCTTTATTTCAAATGTCGTTGGCATTTCATTGAGGGTCACATGCAACATGATCACAGAACGTTCTCATTAGTTCCCCCCAAAATGCAACACATTGTAGAGAACCAGGCATAGTGTAGAAGAAAATACCTTTGACCAGGCATAGAAGTGCAAGGAAGTGAGCTTGCCAAAATTAGGTTGGTCCATGTGGATATTCAAGCTCTGACTCTGATCTATATAACACCCACGATCAACAGCCATGTCCACCAATGTCCTTTGCTTGATCTCCCACACGGTCCTAAATGTTGTACAAAAAGATCAGCAATATTTTCTTGAAATGCAAGACATTGGATATTTAGAAAGCAGAGAAAAAAAGGACATGAGATATCAATACCTGTAAATAGCCTTAAGATCATCGGGAATCTCTGGGACTTTCAGAACAGAACCATTCTCGTAAATTATTTTGTTTTTGAGACTATGAGACCAAAGCCCCATCTCAGTTAAATCATGAAGAAGGTGTTTGTTCACAACAACAAATTCACCACTGAAGTTTTGAAGAGAAAAAAAATCAGGTTGACAGTTCAAGTGTTAATTAAATGGAAAAGGTAACTTGAAAGAGGGTTAGCACAAACCTCAGTACTCTGCGGCTGTAGATGTTAGAAGTGTACGGCTCAAAGCATTCATTGTTGCCAAGAACCTGGCTAGTTGAAGCAGTGGGCATTGGTGCTATAAGAAGAGAATTTCTAACTCCATTATTGGAGATCATTTCTCTAAGAGCAGGCCAATCCCAGCGATCTGATGGTGTTACATTCCACATATCCGGCTGAAGAATTCCCTGCACATGGCCATAGTCTAAGTTCCCACACTTGTAAACACAATGTAACTAAACCATCCTTTTGGTGCACAACATCCATACACCAACAATCTGGTTAATAAAAGATTGTCATGTAAAGTAGGGGCAGAAGAAGCAGAAGGCAACTTCCACAGCTACAGCCCAGATAGGGATAGTAAAATACTAAAACATTTTGACTACAAATCGAGGAATGGAAAAGTTCAACATGTCAAATTTGGACAAAAGCAAACAAGGAAAGCACAACTTCAGATAGTAATTCTCCCTCAAAATTACAAACCTTGCTTATTGGACTCCCATGATATGTTTCATAAGGGCCTTCTTTTGCCGCTAGCTCTGCAGAAGCTTTAAGAGCATGATAGTATATGGTCTCAAAGATGTCTTTATTCAATTGTTGAGCCTGTAAATATCAACAAACAATTAATAAATACATGCAAACCAGTTTAAAAAGGTACCAATTAAAATTTATTGTAAATTTCCATTACCTCTGGTGAATCAAATGGCATGCCAAGCAGGATGAAGGTATCAGCAAGACCCTGAACTCCAATCCCAATTGGCCTATGCCGCAAGTTTGACCTCTTAGCAGTTTCAACAGGATAGTAGTTTACATCAATAATTTTGTTGAGATTTGATGTAACTAGAGAAGTAACCTGTCACAATATCACAGGAAAAGTGAGAATATCAATTACACTCCACTTCTTAAACCAAAAACTGCATGCAACATCAAAAGCATGTGACAAAAGAAGATAACAGGTAAGTAGATAATATATGTATGGTAACACAGACAAACCTCTGCCAACTTGTCAAAGTCAAAATATCTGTTCTTAGACCCCCTGCTTCCAACCAGCTTAGATGGCTGTGATTCCACTGGAATACCCTGCAACAATCAAAACACGATTAGTATGCTGAAGCACCAGGATACAAGAAACCATGAGAACGGAATTGAAACAAATGCATATCATGTGTACAACCCACCTTCTCTCTAACAAATCGGGGTAAAGCAATCGATGCCAAATTGCAAACTGCAGTTTCTGTCGGGCTCGTATACTCAATAACCTCAGTGCACAGGTTTGAAGATTTGATAGTCCCCAGATTTTGTTGGTTACTTTTTCTGTTGCAAGTATCCTGTAAAAATAGGCCAGGGTCAAGGACAAAATTGAAGGAACCTTTATGAAAAAATACAAGTCATGGGTATTCCTAGTATACCTTGAAAAGCATATAAGGAGTTCCAGTTTCAATCTGTGCTTTCAGAATCTCAAACCACAGACTGTGTGCAGAGACAACCTTCTTTGCTTTACCCTATGTACGAAAAATGTCATGTAGGGATCGTTCATCATATTCCAATTCAAAATAAAAAAAAAAAGCACGAAGCCTGAGAAGCAGTAACTGTAATTACCTCCCTCTCATATTTAGTATACAATCTTTCAAACTCCTCGCCCCAACAGTCTGACAGCCCAGGAGCCTCATTGGGGCAAAACAAGGACCATTGCCCATCACTTTGAACTCTTTCCATAAAGAGATCGGGAATCCAAAGAGCATAAAATAGATCCCTTGCTCGATGTTCTTCCTGTCGTGGTGCAACAGATAAAACATGAATCACATATGATGAACAAGCACAGAAACAACTATAATATGATTGAGCTCAGCTACGCATAAATATATACCTTTCCATGGTTCTTTCTGAGATCTAGAAACTCAAAGACATCAGCATGCCATGGCTCCAAATACACAGCAAATGCGCCTATAACAAACATGAATAAACAGAATGAAAAGAGAAGATCAATCAATAAACTGTGATTCAGAATTATACAAGCAATACATGCATGATACATTGAATACGCATCTATACATGCATGCATGGAAGTGAATTATACAAGCAATACTTACCCTTCCTCTTGCCTCCTCCTTGATCAACATAGCGTGCAGTGTCATTAAACACACGCAGCATTGGGACAATACCATTGGATGTCCCATTTGTACCACGAATATAGCTACTAGTGGCACGAATATTATGAACAGAAACACCAATTCCTCCAGCTGATTTGCTGATCACAGCACATTCCTTCAAGGTATCATATATTCCTTCAATACTATCATCTTTCATGCACACAAGGAAGCAACTGCTCAACTGCCAGATTCAACTAACAAAATTAGGAATAATGCACGACGGAGTTAAGACGTGCACGAAAATGAATAAAACATACTTGGGGCCTTGGAGTCCCTGCATTGAAGAGAGTGGGTGAAGCATGGGTGAACCAACGTTGAGACATCAAATGGTATGTTTTAATGGCAGATTCAATATCATCTTTGTGGATCCCAACAGTAACCCTCATCAACATGTGTTGTGGCCTCTCTACAACCTTTCCCTGAACCTTCAATAGATACGATCTTTCGAGGGTTTTGAAACCAAAGTAATCATAGTCGAAGTCTCTGTCATATATGATTTCACTATCCAAGCGTGCAGCATTCTGTGACAGGTAGAAAGTCACCTCAACGTACTTAGAATGCTAGAGTCATAATATCCATCAAAATTCAAAGACGACCATATTAAAAAAAAAAAAACACTAACTTTAGAAATGTATATAACAGGCAATTAGCACAGTAAAATAAATAAAGAAAGAAATAGTTTCCTGTCCGACAACTAAAACACTAAGACCAAAAGAAAAATTACCTGTCAAAGCTACATATATTCGGCTCCTGCTAATACAGCAGGAGCCACATAATCAATGTCATTGAGAATTCTTCCTAGAGAATAAATCGGTGTCATGGATCTATGACTAAAATCAGGGTCAGAGGAAACTGGAACCACTGAAAACAGAGTCCAATATATGACTTATATGGAATTGGGACCATGTATATTCAGAAATTATAATGAAATGTTCCTAAAACCTAAATGACACTACAATCTTGTCTTCATCCCGACATGGGCACAACTAAATAGGAATTCCTGAGGAAAGTATTAACTATGTTCTGGTATTCCAGGACTGTAGATTTTATGCAGTACCTTCATGATTATTTCATAAATATCATCAGCAATAAGGGGAGCCTTCAGTCCAGATTTCTCATTGAAATGGTTGTACATGATCCTGATCCTGCATCAACAACTCAGATCAGACAAGCTCTTTGGAGTAAAAGGGTAAACGTTAAAGTGAGGATAAAAAGTTAGAAAAATAGAAGAAAAGAAAGAAAGAAAGAAAAAAACTTACGTCTCTGAAAACGATTTCTTTGTGTTCTTGTGCAGATTTGAGACAACAATTCTAGCAGCAAGCTACAAGAGCACAAATGAACCCCAAAAAAAAATAGCATCAGAGAAAAATGAATATATCAACCCAAGACCCTTCATCTCTCTCGAAGATAAAAGACATAAAACAAGCATAGTCATCCAAATACAGACACACGACTCTTACAATACAGAGTTATATGATCAAACTCAAAGAGACAAGCACAGACCCACCGCGACCATAAACCAAAGACTTACCGACGCATAATCAGGATGATTAGCGGTCATGGCAGCAGCGGTCTCGGCAGCCAATTCATCAAGCTGACTCGTAGTGACACCCTTGTAGACTCCAGCACAGACCTTCTGAGACACGAGAACCGGATCGCAGTGCTCGATGCTAAGCCCGTAACTGAGTTTCTTCAAACGAGCGGTGATCTTGTCAAAATGCACAGCCTCCTGGCGACCATCTCTCTTGACCACATACATCTTCAATCCTGGTCAGAAACCTTAAAATCAAAGAAAGGAAATATAGATTCTCTGTGAGAGGAGGGGGAGTTGCAGCAAAATTGAGGAGAGAAGGAATGGATTTATAGAGAGAAGGAAGTGTGCGTGAGAAGGAAGCCCTAAGGACTTAGGGAGAGATTTTGAATTCTTTCTTTCATCCGAATGGTTTCCCTCTCTGCTTTGGTTTTTGAAGTTCCCGCCAATATGTGATGTGTGTGTGTAGTTGGTGGCGGATAAACGGCTTCCCGCGGGGTGAGTGAGTGAGACCACTTATGAGGCGCGAGCTGTGAGGACCACCATTCATGTGGCTATTTTAGTCAATGCTCCTGAGAAAAGGACAATAATCCAGGTACATTTTGGTCAATAAAAATACCTGGCGCATTACATTGTCACACGTGTATGCCTAGATGTGATGGAGAATCTCCACTCAAGTTTTTGTAGCACCCCCAGTAACTTGACTTTTTATCATGAATGAAGACGACGAGGATGGCGCGGTTTGGGTCGTGATGGAGTATTTTGCACGGTTCACCGAATTAATATCCGATACTGAAATCTGCGCGTCAGATTGGAATCTTTTGCTATTGATCATCGTGCGAAGTTCCGCTCTCCTATACACAAGAACCCTCTCCATATTTAATACCCACACATCATTTATAACCGTCCATTGATAACAACTCAGACTCTCAGTATTCGCATGATACATTCACTGGCAGATGTTGCCAATGTAACGTGTGGCCGTGTCAGCAACTGCCAAACGGATCGGATCGGATTCGGTGAAGGTATATCCCGTCCGATCTGCTAAGAAACCCGATTAATATGAATTTGATAAGAAACCGCATGATTTTTGAGAGCATATTCGAATTTTAATTGTAATATCTTATCAGATATCCAACTCAATTAAACATGTAATAGATAAAACTTGAAGGTATAATATAAACAATATAATATATTGCTTATATAATATTATAATATATAATATATAACATATAATTATATAAATAATACATAAAATATGCATGTAAATAATATTTCATAGTTAATGAATCGGATCGGATTATGATATATCTCAATTCAATTCATTTAACTAAACATATTGACTTATTTGATATTATATGATTTGTTGGGATTAATTGGAAGTATCCGAATCTAGCTCTTACCATATTGAATTTGAATTTTAATGGACTTGATCCAACTTATTTGTAACATTAGTCAAGGGAGGAGTCTAGGACGAGTTATGCCATGTTATTGATTCAAATAGGAGTGTCAATCTTGAACTATTGGCCTATTGAGTGGAATGGGGTTTGCTCATCATAAAACATTCCTTACATTGACCTCACACCCACATCGCACTATGTATTGGGGACATCTCCCTTGAGTAATACAAGTATGGAATATGTTCCCGATTTGGGATTGTGACATGTCATGGGATGTATTGTAAAGTGCATTATGTGATAAGCAAATAAGGATTCCCTTTTATATGTGTTTTGTATTTGAGCGGGCCTGTAAGTTATCAATTATAATCAAAGTTAATATAGTAAGAATATAATTTTTACCATCTAATTCAGTTTTTTTTTCTAAGAAATATCCGATCAAATGATATTATAGGTGTCTAAGAATACTCAAAAAACAATCATCAATATGTGTTTAATCATTTATTTCGCCAATAAAAATGCTTCTTCAAGTAGCTCCTTGGAGATCATGACCACTTGCTTGCACCAAAGTGAATCATGACACTTTCAGTGATGTTTGGGGTCAATGTCGTTTTTCTATAAAATTGTGACACATCAATGCTACATTCGCATATTGAGTTTTTTAAGACAAGTTATTTGTTCATCTGATTTTTTTAGAAAAAACAATGAAAAATGACTATGTACAGGCAATCAATAATGTGTGGTATGATATGGCAATGAAAACATGGAAAAAAATGGTGTTTTCACATTTTTTATATTGTTGCTAACAATAATCATATGATATGGCAATGAAAATGCTTAATTGACATTTACTAACACGTAAAGACAATTGTTGTGGTTTTTTTGCAACAAGGGTAAAACAAAAAAAAAAAGTTACAGTTCATTGTATGTGATGCGGCGCGATCCGGGCACTCCTATCTGGCGGTTGGCTGGCTCCTTGTCGGCGACACGCAGCACCTGAGAAGATGAAATGAAAGATTCCCGGGGACTTGCCCGGTGGGAATACTCCGATGCTTAAGTTAGTACTGTGTATGGGGAGTAAAGAGAGAAAACGAGAGCTAAGAGTGGAGGTCGCGCTTTATCACTATATTTTAGAGGTTATAGGTCTCAAGAGAGACTTTCTCCTTTGCCTTGAGGGATTTTATAGGAGCGCTCTTGCGATATCGGTCATAACCGCCACTGGGTCCCTGCCACAACCGTTACCTGCCAGGGCTGAATAGGTGGCCGTTGGGATGTACCCCTTATTCGGGCGAGTGACACATCCCCAAAGTGACAAGCACGGCTCCGCTTACTAAGAGACGTGGGCACAAACTGTCGAAAGGACAAGGACTGCGCCGTCAGTTAGGGACGTGGCCCAGTCTGACGGGTACGGCTTATTGAATGGAAGCTTAATGAGGAATGCTCGTGCGGCCCATTCGCGAGCTACTTTGCAACGAGCTTCGAATGCTTCATAAGTACCCTTGGTAGAATTGGTCATCGGATGACTTGCCTTATTCGGGAGCTCAGGCGAGCCGACTTCCTTAGCTCGCAAGCTAAAGTTTACCTCGAAGTATCCTTTGAGGTAGCTCGGGAGACCCGTAGCCCGCGTTGTGGCGAGCCCCTTCTTTACCCCGCTACCATGTGGCAAACTGCTTTAGGGACCTATCACTTAGCCACACTGGACCACGATACTGAGCTGTCGCTTACGCCGAGTCAGCGTCCACGTGTCGTCGTTTCATGGGTCGTGTCAAATTATCCTTCATCAGTATGAATCTTATTTGCACACGCATACACATACACATTTGTTGAAGGCCCTAGAGTTTGATTATAAAGGCAATCACTTCAATAGTAATGTTAGTAAAGGTGAATAAGTCAAAACATGCCATGATAAAGAAAAATGATAACTAGTAGATAAAAGTGTTTAAGAATGTTGTACATTATATCTCCTTAACTATTATATGCAATATGGTTATTTAATCCATGATTCAAACGTTTTTCCACAACAAATTGTTTTTATTATTCATGTTGTTCTAGCAGTTACTATGAGGTGGACCTTACAAGATTTACATTGGACATTAAATGAGTTTGGAGTGTTTGATAGATGTGTAATTACAAGGTACAAATCCATTATTTAATTGATTAAGAAAAATTACTAAAATGCCATGATATTTTCAAGTTGCCAATGCCCTACCTCATGCACCATATATCGCCTTTTAATTGGCACAAAAACACTCATGTATTTATAACTTCATTAAACATTTGTTTATGCCCTATATGCCAAAACACCTTATTTATCACACTTTCAATACTAAAGTTAATCACAAATGGTGAAACTAGCAAAAAATTTGTTTAAGTGACTTATAATTTGATAATACTATTTTTCAATATGTCGTTGACACAAAATACTAAACCATTCCCTCCATCACTTGCAATTTATGTTAGTTTGGTCTAAACTTAAACTAAACAATATATAAAAAAAAATGGTCAAATCGGTCAATAAATGGTTGATTTGAAATATGATCGAGCTGATAAATCTTTCAAACCATTCATTATTTTTTTTTTTGTTAAGGTCAAACCAATATTCAAATAAAAATATGATTGGTTTACATTCTAGATTTTATTTGAGTTTTTAATGTATTCTTTAGGAGAATTGAAAAATATATTTGTATAATATTATATGCATACATGTAAAATTACACACAACCTATTTATTACACAATTAACATGAATAACCTTACCAATATAACACAACCTACATAAGCTGAATTATTATGATTAACTTGTTTAAATCTATACAAAATGACACACATAATCCAATTTAACACAAAAAATAAAATAATAAATTTTATTAACATGTTAAAATTAAACAATAAACAAACTTAAATATTATATGAACATGTGATCATTAATTAGTTAGTTAACCAAATTCATAAAAAACATTAAATATTATCATTATATAACATAATAGTATTAAATCCAAATATATATACACAAACAAATAGTTAAAGCTTTCATTCATAATAAAAACAAATTATTTCGAATTAAGTAGGTAAATTCAAAAGTGGCATGTTTATCCATCATGTTAAATGCATTGACATGATTTTGACATTAAAATGAGATAAATCAATATTCATTACTTTATATTTTGAATCATGTTCACAATTGTGTCAAAAATATTATAAACCATAATATGAATGTTTGTTATTTTAAGTCCAGGGTCAAGATTGATCATGCCCATGATCACTTTTACATATGAAAAAATATGCTAACAAAGTAAATACGAAAGAGATAGACACAAAATATAAAGGAGTGATGACGTGTGTGTGTGTGTATGAACACATGAGCATACATGTAAGAGATTGTGAGATTAGTCAATATCATTTTGGAACAAAATTTTAAAAAGCATAAAATTATATTATACAAATAATATATGTATTATAATAATAAAATATGATATAATTACATAATATATGTATATATATATATATATTATTTTTATGTTTACTTTATATTTTTATCTCAAATTATAGGTTTTTAAATGCAGAAAACTAAACGGTTGGATTTTGAGGCAAAAAAACAATATTTTAATAAAAAATGAAGCGATGTGCCTTTAATTATTAGGATACATAGATCTCAAAAATTTACCTAAAATGATATACTATGTGTTTAGAACTGTGGGTGTTCGCTAAACGTTTGTATTTGTTTTGTTTGTAAAATCGATAAAAGCAATAATGAATTTGTTTGTTGATACTTACGCGTCATTTATGCAACATATTGACAAAACAGTGAATAAATGCCTAATCATTAGGGGAAGCACTAAAAAAAATTCTCCGACGATAAGCATGCACATAAATCAATGCATACTTTTGCAATTCTCTAATCTCTATGCATACAAATCCACATAATGGGGAAATATTGAAGTTGTGCTTATGTGAAAACGTTTATTCAATAAACACTAATGATTTCAAACACCACCATAAAGATC